TGAAACCCCCCCCCCCCCCCCCCCCCCCCACCATCCCACCTCAGGCAGGGAAGAATCCAGGATTATTTGAAAGGGGGCGGGGGCGGATGCGAAGACAACCCTCTCCCCACCTTTGCGTGGGGTTTATGGACCGCTGAAGACCCCCGAAAATTTTGGTATTTTAGAGGGCGAATGGTGCCATTTGGTTCGGTTAAGAAATATGATGCAGCAAGTCAAAATTGTAATTTCAAGAGGGGACCATAGGTGTGATTTTTTTGTCACCCCTGACACCCCTTAAATCCGCCTGACAGGTAGGCCTACATGTAATGCTATATGTTAATTAATACGGGATTCATGCAGAATTCCAATGTTAATCTTATGCTGGGTTTTTATGTTCATAAGCAATGCGGTTAATTAACTCTTTTCTTAATAAACTATTGTTATAGAAATCAATATGAACCTGCAACAAAATTAAAATATATCCAAGACAAGCTTTATCTGAAGCATCGATGCAATCAAGTTTTTCTTTTCAAAGAATTGTTGCGCATGTCAGCTAAGGTACGTGAAATGTATTTTATTTTTGTTATTCGTAAACAATCCTAAGATCTCATTTTTGGTGCTAAAATGTACTTGACATTACAAAACTCAATGGCGAGTACGTTAACTCACAGATGTCAAAATATTTTCTCTCTCGGGTCAATTTATAAGTCACCCATGCCACTTACACGAACATGTATATTTCCCTTCAAATACAGTCGTTTTATTTATTTATTTTTTAACCTTATAATGTTTAGTTAAGGCGAAATAATGAATGATTGATTTTAAAGTAATCATCGACATAAAACAAACCTCAATTTTTAGACACTGCTATCCTTGAAGTGGTGTAATGTGGGTAGGACCCCCTCCCCTCTCTCTCTCTCTCTCTCTCTCACACACACACACACACACACACACACACACACACACACAAAATTAATATTTGTGTAAAAGCAACAGAAAATACATCGACTACAACCTCAGCTCCAACACCTGCTTTGCATTGTGGCATATAATTTCAGATCAGATAAAATCAGAAGCCTAAACAAATGGAGCAAGCCAACTGGTGCAGATTTTGTCCATGCCCATAAACAGCTAAGTGAAGAAAAAACTGATCATGGGAAGGGACAAAATACACGCCAGAAACATCAAGACATAAAAACAAGGTAACATTAATACGGTGACTGGTATGAAGGTACTGGTATTAATTCTGTCTTTGACTAGACAAGAACTAGCACCAATTTGCATGTGTTAGCACTCCTATTTAAAGTGTCTGATATGTCACATTTTTGTCTTTACAGATGCCAAAATTAAAAAAAGCAAAGTGCCGTAATAAGCCGGCAAAAACAAAAGAAAAAAGTGAAAAAGTCAGGCAAAGACAAGCTGTGTTTGAGGTATGTATTTTTTTTTTTTTTTTTT